AGGAAACCAGCTTGGTCTCCAGATAGCCTCTTTGAAGGACTCAGTTTAGTTGAACACCCATAATTGACTCGGGCCCCTTCCCTAGCTGGTTTGGTAGAGGGCTCAGGAGCTTTAGAGCCCAGTATAGCCCCTGTTGCTACTGTGGAGCCAGTCAGTTTGAGAAAGGGTTTCTCTTGACCTCCAATGCCAGGGCCTGGCCTAGGTGAATGCTATGGGCAGAGGAACTACTGGAGAGGGAGGTGTCCTGGAAAGGTGACAGGCCCTATCCAGCAGCCAAGTGGAGACCTCTTGGTGGCTTTAACTAGGGAGGAGGAGGGGAAACTCAGCTCTCCTGAGAAGGCTCTTCATTTACTTAGTCCATGTTGGAATTTATGCTGAGACCCCCAACTTCAAAGCACTGGACCGGGTGTGAAGCCACAGAATTTTCTCCTGAACTGTGTTCTAGTGACATCTGAGCTGAAGAAGCATAGAACTACCTTCTTATTCTCTATGGCAAGCCCTATGTGGGGGCTGTGGAGAGACTGGGTGAACCTGAGAGAACAGGATGCTTGACTTGGTGCCCTGAGGGATGTGAATCCTGTGAATAAGACAGATGGGGTCTTTGTGGGGTTTAGGTTCAAGAAGGGCAAGCAAACAGTAAGCATATAAACAAATCAATGAGCAAGATAATATCAGAGAGTGATGAGTATTCAAAGAAAATCAAACTGGGTAATGGAAGAATCAGCATATGAAGATTGACACCAAAGTGTTCCAGGTGGAGGAAATGTCAAGTGCAAAGGTCCCAAGGAAAGGAGGAACACACATTCACTTGCTTGAGGAGCTAAACAGTAGCCATGGCAGCTAGACCATAATGATAAGAGGAAGGAGGCTCAGATACTGTCACTTTGACCTGGCTTGTAAGTCTTACAGTTTACAGAGATTAATCTCTTGTTCTAGAAGAAAATACATTTAGAGTCCACAGAAGAGCGTCCTGGTAGCTCTGTACCAGTGGTCGTGTTATTTACTGGGTTATTTACCAAGTTTTCTCATGTCTTGGTGTGGCAGTGGGGTGGGGGTGGGGCAGTTCATAAAGTGTCCCAGAAACAGGTGCTGATGTATCTCATGGCCTGGCCTAAGAGGGTTACTTATTTGGAAGGTTTTGGAGTGAGGTACTTAAAGAGAATCACAACCAAGCATCCCTAGGAAACATCCTAGACTCATTATCTCTTAGAACAATTAAAGCTATAAGATTTCCCCTTTGGAGGTGAATTTGGAGGGACAGTTTGTAATTGTACACCTGGGTGAGTCACTGGTATCCAGCAAGTCCTATATGCCGTAGTTGGGGTGCCTATTGCAACAGCTGACTCCCTGGACAGCCCTGTCCTTGTTCTTGGAGCACCACAGTAACTCTTCATGGCCAGGAGCACCATGCTGGCTACTTTGTACATGGTCTTCTTCAGTCTCACA